CTTCCTCTAGGAATCTTAAATTCCTTTTGCAGTGCCTTCTTGGATCAAAGCAAGAGTGTCTGTCACTTTAGGCAACCCTACTCTAGCCCCTCTTTATCCACAGCTGTCCACAGGGGTGGAGTCTGCAGAGTCAAGGAGACCCACCCCTTTTCTGGAACATGCTCCAGTTATCTAGGACCATGGAGTTACGGCCCAAACAGCCATGAACCTGTTCCCAAAGCCTGCAGAGTTCTCTTCTTCAGGTGTATAAACTTCTTTCCTAGGGAAGAGGAATGGGGCAAAGGGCCATCACTCAGGGGGTGATAGGGACAGAGCTTGGATAAACCAGCTGGAGTATCCATATATGTGTGCATCCAAAGTTCCTTGGTGCAGGGTGGAATCAGTGGTGGAAAAGAATCAGTGACCTATGGACCAAAGTCTAGACATCCCATTTGGCTAGCACAAAATTTAGGCAAATCTTAAAGCTCTAAATTAAAACAAGTAGTCCAGGTTGTTTTGAAGGTATATTTGTCAAGATGGAAGAGTAGAATGTATTTACTTATTGGTTTGCTAGCTGGCCTTGGTACTTGTAAATATTTTGGCTGATGGCACATGAGCTTGTATTTTGATAGTGTTGCCCTTAAAGCCTATAAACTTCAGGTGAGAATCTATTCTTTGTGGAGACAGATATTAGTGAAATAATCATATAAAGAAATGTAAAATAAAACCATAGTGCCAGGAAGGATAAGTATGCCATCTGGGTCTCTCCTTAACTGCTCTATTTGATCTCCATTCTCAGGGTTCTCATTGCATCTTGGGGTCTCCAGGTTCCCCTGAGTTCTGCAAAGTCCTTATCCTATTCCCCAATAACCCAGCACACTAACTGAAACATTTCCATTCTATTTTTATCCCCTCTGAACACAGAGCTCCAAGGAAGCCAGCTCCAGAAGAATGAGAAAGGCAGCCTAAGCTGTTAAATTCCTTAAGACTCTTTTCCCTCTTTCCATTAGGTCTAAAACAGGTTCCCTCCCACCCTGATCCAGAGTACCATGGTAGATAGCATCACTGGACCCACCTCCAGGCATGGAGCTCCATGGCTGCCCAGCCTAGCAGGTGGTTTCATGTCTTCATGAAGGTATCCCTGTGTTTCACATCTCTTGCCGCTTGCAGCCTAAATCTATTTCTTCTCACTTGGTCTTCAACAGCAACAGAGAAGCCTTCCATAACTAATTGGGGAAAAGGTAGCAAATTCCTTCCCCCCTATCTCTCTGAATAGGCACACCACCCACTAAGCTGCTTTTAAACATGCCTCTCTTTCTTATACCGGTATTACTGTAATTCACCCAGGCTGACTGTCTGTGTGTTCTTGATCTCTGTCAGTCCTTGTGATGTCTGGATTAGATTATGACATCCTAGAGGGCAGGGCCACATGTACTATGTGTCTCCAGTCCCTGCTCAGCAAAATAGCAGGTATAGGTTAATAAAGACTTTGTTAGTGAAACAGAGGAAAAGCACTCTGTACCCAAAGCATTGTAAGAGCAAAAGAAACAAGCCACAAGTGCAGCCTCCCGCTAGTCTGTGAGCTGAGACACTTTTTCAACGAAGCAGGGGAGCACTCTCCTGCATCTGTGACAATAACAATAACAAAAGTCACCACATGACTCTCCTGGTACTGACTGATTTGATGCTCAGAATAATTGTATGAACTAGCCACAGAGAAGCTGTGTAACTTGTTTGGTCCTCCAACTGGGGCCATTTGGTTTCAGAGCCCTCAACTTACCTACCATGGTGCACTGTTCCTTGAGGTATACTAGTGCAGCTTCAACCACAAATGGGGGACAGGGGGTGCCAATAGGCCCTTGACCTATACTCTCATGGATCCTTGACCCCTGTCCCACATGCATGGTTGAGAGAAGGAGAGCGGCTACTCAGGAACTTTCTAGCATGGAGCCAAGTGGGCTCTCAAAGCATTTCACATGCTATCCCTCTCCCTCCTATTTTTCTCTTCTCTTTTCAAATGCATTAAGCTTGTTCACATTCAGATTTTGAGCTTGCTGTTTCATCCACCTGGAATGCTCTTCTCCAGGTCTGTGCATTGGTGGGTTCTTCTCATCATTTGGGTATCAGCTCAGATAGCACATTCTTAGGAAGGCCTTTCCTGATTGCCCTATCTAACATGGCTGTACCTGTCCCATCCTTTCCCTTTCAGTCATGACTAACTCATTTTCCTGTTTTAGTTTTATCTCACTTAGTTTCATCATGGTACTCCATGCTCTCTGAAATCACTTTATTAATCTACTAGTTTATTTGTCTCTTTTTGTGTCTCCACTGGAATGTCAGGTTCAGGAGACTGAAGTTGTCATCTGTTCTTGCTCACTTTTGGGAACAGTATGTTACACACTGTAGTTTCCCAATAAACATTTGTTAAATAAATGCATGCATGAATGAATGAACACAAAGTCCTTTGTAGAAATCTGCAAAAGTGAAACTGGCTGGATCTTCCTATTGCCTCTCACCACATACATTGCAAGCCCCTGGTGGGAAGAGACTAAATCTTTATTTTGGGCAGCATGTTAGCACCTAGAGCATAGCAAATGACTGGGGTGATGGGTAGAAGGGGAGATTTTTGGTTTCTTTGTTTGGGCAGGGAAAGACCAAGTCATTCAGCTACTGATTTTCAGACTGCATTCCTCCTAGGACCAGGAAGACAATTTCTGTACAGCTCCCTCTCAGAACAGAATCCAAAATAGAAAAAAGTCTCAGCGTGCCCACCTCTCCTTCTCCCTCCATCCCCCTCTCTCTTTCCTCTTCCATCTCCATCTCCCTTCTCTATAGTTTCCCCCATCTTCCCTCCTTTGTCTTCCTTCCTCATTGAAATGCTGTGAAGAAAAGCAAGAAGAAAGTGGGAAACCATGTTCTCTACGTCTAATTTAACACTCATATTACTCTTATTACCACAATAACACAATCCCATTAAAACCTCTTTGTTCCTGCACTAGTAAACCTCCAAAATGTAATAATCATATGTAAGAAGTACTTGATTTGATCCAATGCTCATGAAGACACAGCCTCCTAGTCCTCTCATTCTTTACTGGCGTTAGCTTTTTAATTGAAAGCTTTATTATGACACATAGTAAAAATAATAAACAAGAAAGGAAAATCCCTCACCCCAACCAGATCTTGTATCACATGAGAACATTTCGCATTATTGCTAATGACTTTTTACTTTTTTTCAAGAAAATACAGCTTTTCCATGAACAAAATACATGCTTATTTTATACTAATCTCTTACAAGGTATTTTCTCCCTAGTCATCTTCTGGCCTCTCTTATAAGGAAGGGAAGGCAAATGGCATCTCACAGAAGTTGGAAAAAAGACCCAGAGGCATAAAGCTATTTGAATAAGTTCACACAGCAGGTGAAATATTATCCCAGGACACAGTCCAAGTCCTGCTGTTTTCTAGCAACAAGAGTGCTCTTGCCAAAAGGCACACTCCCAGCAACCTCTATGACATGCACACCTGAGCCAGCCAGTATAGGAGAAGAAAGAAACAGCTTAGGAAGTTAGGAAGGTAAATCATTCTTTCTTTGAAAAAATAAGGCTCCTGACTGGGACAAGAGCACCCCAAAGTGAGGCTCACTCTTGCTATTATCCAGCCACTCTATCCTGTAACTGTACCAGAGGCTCAGCATTGACACTGGAGCCAAGTGCTAGAAGAAAGGCACTGAGCAGACAACCAGACTTTCTTGCCTACCAAGAATTTTCAACTCTGGGCTTCAGGTAACCCTGGTCATGAGGAGGAATCCAGTCCTCAGCCTCTCAAAAACATTTACTCACACTGAGATTTCTATCACTTTCCCTCTTAATTTCTAGGCTGCCGTCCCAGGCATCACCCATCCCTAAAGTGCTTTGTCCATTCAGAGCAAAGAGAAAGGATGAATGGAAATTTCATAGAGAAAGCCAAAAATAGTCAGTCAGGTGCACCCATGTGGCATCCTATTTCACTGCCTCTTGTCCAAGAAGTACCCAGAATCTTCCCTTCACTTCAGGAAATTGTTGAAGAAGTGGCTGATGTGAGCACAGAATCCTGACCACGTTGCAATCCAATGTTCCTTTTCTGAATCACTAACAAGATTAGATACTCAGGTGAGCCTTTACTATCTTAGATTCTTTGGAAAGAATTTTCACAATTTATGACTCTTGAAGAATGTGCACATGCTATCCAGCATGGGAGACACTGGATTGTAAGTGCACTAGTAAGCAAGGTGTCTAAAAATCTGAATGGATAAGATAGGGAGAAACTGCCAGACTTGAGAAAGCTCTGCTCCATAAGAGACTTGTCATCCCCTATCCTGAATGAGGAAAGTTTAAGGGATACTCTAAGTCAATATACTTCAGACCTGAGAACTGCAATAGATATGACAAGCTTCCTTACTTTCTTCTCAATGTCCCTTTAAACTCACTCTCACTTCAACTTACCTACTTGCTTTCAACATAGGAAACCTTGAGACTGCCAAGAAGTGTTTTGGCAAACTGAGGTAGACTCGAAGTGAAAAACCAGGACCATTGGATTTCAACCTAGGAGAACAGTGGACATACTTTCAGAAAGCAAAGAAGTTTGAATGTGAAACTGAAAATGGGCTAGGGAAAATTTTACTAACAAGAAATCAGCTAAAAGTATACCTGGCAAAAGCATGAATATACCACCAATTCTCTTTATTTCATTGCTTCTGGATTTTCTATTCTGAGAGTGTTTGTGGATTTGAAGGATGGGATTGAAGACACTCATATGGGAGGAAAAAAAAAAAAAAACAGAATACAAGTGAATCACCAAACAGCTCCATCAGGAACCAGACACCTATTGGGTGAACTTAACCACAGGATACATTATCGAGGAGTTCTAAACACTTAAAGTCCTTGAAACTAGCAACAACATAATGGTTCCTTAGGGCAAGCAGGTGAGTGACAATCTGCAAGACCTGCAGAGATCACAAGAAAGTAAGAAGGGGAAAAGGGACTCACCTGTTCTGGTCCCTGGAAACAGATACGGCAGAGTGGAGTCCTCATACCACTGTCCAAGCTACTGCCTACTGAGTAGCAATCCTCAGCCTTCTCCTTACAGAAGTCATCTGAAGAGGCACTGCTGAGCAGCGAGGCAGGTGGCTCTGTGGCTGGGCCACCCCAGTCATCTTCCACAGAAGGTGGCAAAGGTGGTGGAGGTGGCAGAGGAGGGGTCTCCCTGCCCACTACTTCTCGAGGGCCCCTCCAGCCTGCCCACCCCCCGGCACCCAGAGCCGGAAGGGTGTTGTTGTTGGCTGCCAAGCCGGGAAGCTGGGGGTCGCCGTGCATGGGCAGGGGCGCTGGAGGGGGGCGCCGCAGGAGGAAAACCTTCAGGTCATTGAAGAGCATGCGGCAGCGGCACTTGAGGAGACCCTGGTGGCGCAACATCTGGGGAACTGGTGTGCACAGTCCACAGTAGTACCAGCCACAGCAGCACCACCACCACCAGAGCAGCCCACCCAGGGGCATCAGCATGTGCCCAAGGAAAGAAGAGAACCCAAGACCAGCAGACAGAGTCTTTGAAGAGGTGGATGGGATGGGACTGGGGGTCCACAGTGTTTCTGTGTTACAGAAGGAATATCTCCTTTCTTACTGGCTCTTCTTACACCCCCTCCAAGCAGCAAATAAATTGCTCTCAGGACTGAGAAGTGTGAGTCACTGATTCTGAACTCTACCTGGAAAACGCAAAATGAAAAAAAGTTTTTCTTGCCCTTGAAGCCCCACCTCAACCTCAGACTTTGCTCAAGGTGTCTTTCTGCTTTCCACACCAGGACATTGGTAGGAGCAGGGTGATAGAGGAAGCATTGAGGCTGGGCTGTTAGAGCCTTAAGATAAATGTCTAATTGTTAAAAGTTCCCCAGAAAGGCTTTTTAAATCTCTAGGCAGTGGTAAATCTCTTTTATATAAAAGTGGGGAAAGATTATAAATCAAATTTGGAGTGGATTGAGCTGGGCTTAGGGAAAACCAGCTCAATGAAGAACTGGGGACCACATGTATGAAAGAGAAGATAGCTTTCCTCAGGTAGTAGGAGACTGATGGGCGGGGTAAAGTGGGGGTGGGGTGGGGTAAAGGACGTTGGGAGAAGTTTGAAATTTCCTGGGCAGAAAACTGGGGCAATTAACCCCTCAAGCACCAGAGTTGCTTTTTTTTTTAGAGCAGTTGAGTAAAGGGGAGGAGATTGTGGGTGAAATTGGACGAGGGGCTTGAGCTTTGCCTATGTAGTCAAAGGTCTACACAGAAAGGGGAAAGTCAATTAGCCGAATAGAGGTGGGTAGTAAAGGTTTGGGGATGGAGAAAGGAATGGAGAAAAAGAAACGATGTTTAACCCTCGCAAAGCTACCTCCTTCCTGAGCATTTGGATCCTCACTAGAGGAAGGGTGTGTGTATGGGGGTGGGAGGGTGGCGGAGCAGAGAAAAGGGGTAAAGAAGAGGGATGTGTGGAAGGGGACAGGAGAAAGGAATAGTTACATTATTTCAGCCCCCAGCCCACTCCTGCGGCAGTCCGTAAATCCGTAGCCCCCTCCCCCTGGTTCCATCAAAGGTCCCTTAGGGCGAGGTTCAAGAGCTGGAAGAAGAGCAGGTCCGGGCGGGCGAGTGGCCTCGCCTTCTCCTCTTCCTCCTTTGGGTCGTTGTCGCCCTCCTCCTCCTGCTCGGGGTCTGCCCTCGCCCGCCGCTGCTGCTGAGGCGGCAGAGGCGACTGCTGATCGGCGTCCGGGTGTCTCCGGGGCGGGGCTGCTCGGGCTCGTCCTCTGGCTGCTGCCCGCCGTCCGGCGCGGTCGCGACTCCGGGCTTCATGATCCTCCTCCTCTTCCTCCTCCTCCTCCTTCCCGGGGGGCCGGCCCTGAGCCCCCGCGCCTGGGCAGTGCTGCCATGCAACCAGAGACGAGGCAGGCGTGGGGGTGGGGGCGGTGGGGGAGTAAGAAGGAGGGATTGATTTTTTAAAAAAATGAAATAATGCTAATGGGATATTTCGGCTCTCAAATAATCAGGCAAGAGTGCTTCTGGTGGGTGGGGGCGGAGGAGGGCGGCTGCCGGGTCTTCTCGGCAGCTCTGCCCCCGCTGCCCCCACCCAGGGCGGCCTCGGCCGGCTCTCGGCCCCCACCCTCACCGCGCCCCTCCCCTCCCTCCTCTCGCTGCCTCTGGCTGGCCGGGCGGGCTGTCGCTACCTCTCCCCGCAGACGTAACGAGGTAAGGCTGGTTTGCGGTGCCAGCTGAAGGTGGGGAGGGAAAAGCGAAGCAGTGCGGCCAAGCTGGAAGGCAGCCGGTACTTGGCTCCAGCTCAGTCCTCGAGACTCCCCAAACCCGCCTATAAATATATCTCTTATAAAAGCCGAAAGGAAGCAAATCGGAATCCAGGCTGCGGCCAGGTGTTGTCTTCCGCCGTTGCTCGGCACCCGCCGCCGCGACTGCTGCCCCCCTGGCTCAGTTCCCAAAGGGGTGGTGCTGGAAGGGAGGTGGCGTG